GGACTTTGTGCTGGACTGGACCTGGGTCCAGGTGTTTGTGTGTGTGTGTGTGTGTGTGTGTGTGTGTGTGTGTGTGTTGGGGAGGGGTGGGGTGGGGTGCAGCAGGAAGGAGGTGACACGGATGTTTCCAGAGTGTCTGGCAAAAACAACAAAGTGGATAATGGTGCCATTTATTGAGGTATGTGACATTGAGTAGGAGCAGGTTTAGGGGATAAAATGATGAGTTTGATTTTAGGGTTCAGTTGAAAGTTGCTGTGAGGTATCTAAGGTGAGGTGGTGATTAAGATTATGGACCTTGGCCTCTGTGATGTGATTTAGACTAAAGGTATAAACTTGAGGGTTGTTGGCCACGTGAGGAGGCAGGATCATCCAGGAGAGAAGGGAGCAGTCTGTCTGGGGGACCACCTTCACAAGAATGGACCGAGGAGCCACAGGGGCTGGTACGCAGGGATTAACAAGCCCCTCAATAAATCTGCGCGTGTTAGTATTTGAGAAGCCCTGATACAGCTTGTGAAAGGCTGAACACTGAAGATTGTGCCATCAGAGAAAAGGGATCTGAGATACTTTCCTTTACAGAATGAAAGACATAGGAATGGGGACAGAAATGAAGGACGAGGGGAAGGGAGCCAAGGGGCTGTGCAGGTCGCCAGCTGTGTCTCAGTAAGGGAGAGGTAAGGTCAGCTGTCACAGAAGGATACTGGGTGTGAGGTTAGGACCAAGGCCAAGGGAGACATTTACATGTCTCTGAGGGAATTATTAGCCACAGATCAGCATGAGGATTGCCGGATGACATTGAGGTCCCACTTTGAAGGGTATTACCAAAAATTTCTCTTGATTCTATAAATTTCTTGATCAATGCTGTAGCTTCCAGGTAGAATTAAACTGATCTGGTGGAAGTTAAAGGGGCCAGGAATACTAGAACATTATTGATACTGAATTATCACTAAAATGTGCTAGTTCACTATGGGGTTTAGACCAGTGAAAGCAAGACTGGTTGGAAGGCTTGGGAGGCTCAGAAGAGGCGAGAGGATGAGGAGGAACACCCAGAGCTAGGCTAGAGGGTGGAGAGATGGCAGGAGACGAGGAGGTCCTGGACTGAGGGGGCCACTACCCCAGGTGAGGTCTCAGAGGTGGGCCCGAGAGATGAGAGGTTCAGTTAGATGCGTGGGCAGCCGCAGAGTGGAGACAGGGTTTGGTGTTAGCTTCTCGGGTCCTCCGGTGGCCGGGGATGTGATAAGAAGCTCTGGTGAACTGGGTGCTCACATAGCAAGGAAGTCAGGCTTGTTTCTTGTAGGTTCTACATGGTAGACGGGAAAAGAGGAACATGCTGGCAGTGAAAGGTGGTCTCCATTTAATTGAGAAACATGAGTGATAGGTGAGTTCCTAAGTCTTGGAGATTCCAAACACAGAGGCAACAGTTTTGAGTCATGACACCAGACTTTGCACTCAGCATGTTGCACACGTTCACTCGTATAGTCCTGATAACCACCCATGAGGTAGGGGTGTCTTTATTTTATTTATTTTTTTCATCTATTTTTATTAGTTGGAGGCTAATTACTTCAAAACATTTCGGTGGGTTTTGTCATACATTGACATGAATCAGCCATGGTATAGGGGTGTCTTTAATAAACTCATTCTACAAGGGAGGAAACTGAGGCACAGCAGGGTTTAGGCGCTTGGCCAAGGTCACACAGTGGGTCAGGGATGGAGACAGGATTTGAGCCCCGTGGTCTGCTACTCTGGTTGGGGCTCTTAATAAGCCTGTTCTACTGTCTGTCTCAAACCAAACTTGGATATTTTAAAAAAGTTATTCTTTCGGGTTCCAGACTCTTGGACATTTATTATTTTAAGAAAATATTGAAAATTAAAGACAACATTAGTCTGTTTGCCTATATCTTAAGTCATAGACATCTACTCTAAAAAGTTTGAAAATATGACCGGGCACCAAGCGAATAAGAAGAGTAGTTCCCCGTCGCTGTGGTATGTGTAGGACGGTTCCTGTCAGCCGCCTTGCAGGGCTTGCTCTTGCATGTCACGAGAAGACCCCTTCCTGCTCCACGCTGGAGAGGGAGCTGCAGCAGGCCAGGGGCCAGCCCCTCGTGCGCTAGCTGTTGGGGCTGGGCGGCGGGGGGCTTCCTTCTGCCTGTCTGAGGCCTGGGTGAGAGGGTTCACGGCTCGATCCTGGCCCTGAACCCAACCGTGTGGGCCCTTGTCTGTTCTTCCCAGAAAGCCGCCCAAAGTTGTCTGAAACTGAGACATTTCAGATGTCTGGGATCTGACATTATGGTACTTGCAAGGTGACAGGTCAGTTGGCCAGCTTCACAGACACTGACTGTAGACACAGACTCCTGGCCCGACAGAGGGGACTTCACTCCTCAGCCTGCAAGTGCAGCAGCCTGCTGTTTCTGCCAGCTCCCCAGGCCCCGGGCCCCGTGGGGGCGACGCGGCCAATGGAGGCCGTCCCTGCAGGAGGCTTCTGTCACAGCTGCGGAGCCCTGCACCGAGGGGGCCCTGCCGCAAACCGGCCTGGCTTCTGCTCGGGGGTGGGGTGGGGGGGATCTCCTCCTTCATGCCGTAAAGGAGGCAGGCCCGCTTCAGCTTCAGAGACACTGTCTCTGTCTTCCCAGGCCATTCGCTGTGTAGATATCCTTGAAAAGACAGTCTAGAATGAGAACTGCCTACCTCTGCTGGTGAGATAGATGCTCAGACGTGGGAGAGAACCACGGAGCGTTGCCTTCCAACACAGAGAAACAGATTTGATGAAAAACAAATTGAATTGCTAAGAAACAGTTCTCACCAGGGGCTTCCCTGGTGGCTCAGCTGGTAAAAGAATCCACCTGCCAGACTCAGGAGACTCAAGAGACTCTGGTTTGATCCCTGAATCTGGAAGATCTCCTATAAAAGAAAATGGCAACCTACTCCAGTATTCTTGTCTGGGAAATCCCATGGACAGAGGAACCTGGTGGGCTACTGTCCGTGGGGTCACAAGAGTTAGACACGACTTAGCGACTAAATCACCACCAGTTCTTACCAAAATGTCAGAGGAGGTATGTAAGTCTTACCGATGACTGATTCCCCAAATTTATTATCATTACAGTACTTACTGTAACTTAATGTTATGTTATTGTAATTGCTGGCTATAATAATTATAGCATATTATTGTAGTAAAATGCCCTGTTTTTGGATATCAAATCTCATAGTTCTGAGTAACACTACTGTTTAGCTAATGTATCTTGGCACTTCCGACACGTGTTATGTGTTTTGTGAGCTCGGATGTTCCTGTGGGCTAGTTGGAGGCTGGCAGGATTTGGGCTACAGTCAGAGGCAGGAAGAGATGAAGCTGAGATTGTAATACACTCCAGAGCCTACTCTTTTTATCTGTTTTATTTATAGGCTTTCCAGATCATATTTAAGGTGTAATTAAAAGATTCTTGCTTAGAAAGAGGAAGAGGGGGGAAAAGAAATCAGTGCTAAAAGGTAGTGGTCATGTTTTGGTATCCTAAATGGTTTGAAAGTCGTGAAGTGTGGGCTCAGAGAGTTCTTCTGAAAAGTAGAAGTGTATTTTTTAGTAGTTTGTTCTGTGACTGTTCTTGTTTTCTCTCACTGGAGTCACAGCTACTGTGAGAGCTAGTGTGTAAGGTCAGATGCAGGTTGCCGTCACTCTGGTTCACCAGCCTCCTTTGCTCTGAGCACATAAGGGGCACTGACTCTTAACTCTGAAGAAGTGAAGTGAAGTGAAAGTCGCTCAGTCGTGTCCGACTCTTTGCAACCCCGTGGACTATACAGTCCATGGAATTCTCCAGGCCAGAATACTGGAGTGGGTAGCCTTTCCCTTCTTCAGGAGATCTTTCCAACCCAGAGATTGAACCCAGGTCTCCCACATTGCAGATAGATTCTTTACCAAATACGTTTTAACCTGTGAGGGGCCACCCTGTGGTCAGGTAAGTCTGAGTCATCACTTCAGACTGGTATCGCTTGGCCGTGGCTTTATGAAGTTTCCTTTCTTATTGAATTTGAGGAGCTGTGATTTAACTGTGACCTGTTTCTGTAAATCAGAAATTAGAAAGTAACATTTAGAGCAAAATTGAAATAAGTCCATATTTTAGATTTTATGTATAGCTCATATCTTTAGACTGTTTTTAATAGGGAAGGAAATATTATGTGATTTGAGAAACATGGGTATACTTAATATTATGTTAGATGTAAAATAGTGTATTACAGTATAAAATAACAATATGAATATTTACATTTAAGTACAGATTCAGTCATTTGATGACTTTCTAAGAATATGAGGAAGTTTTTCTTTTTTGCCTAGTCCCCTAGGTTTCAAATGTAAGTTGGCCTCTTGTTTGCCCCTGAGGTCAGAATTTGTCTTATATATTTAAAATCGTACACAATAATTATTTATTGTATTCCATCCTAGTGGATTTAGTGAAAAATTCAATCTAATGTGGACAAAGGAATGATGTTTAACTGATATGAATATTGATACTGTCTGTCCGCATGCTTTCTGAGGTTGGGTCACTGTGAAGAGGCCTTCATCCGGCCACTAGAGGGCGCTGGAGGCTGTGGGGAGCCGGCAGGATTCCTGCGTTCTCCAGTAGATGGGGCTCTGTGCTCTCACCAAGTGGGGTGTTCACTGAACTGCTTGGCAGCATGCCTTAATTAGCTTTATAATCCCTTGATTAGAATCACAAATAAAAATTCGTTAATCTACTCTCGTGGTGGAAAGTGTTAGGAAAGTAATTGTTTAAAATGGCTCTGCAAAATGTTTTTTAAAGAATTTTTTGGGTACTTTCTTCAAAGCTTAATGGTGTTTTACATAATTTTCAAAAGAAAAGTCAGTCTGAACATTACAAACCATAAACAGTTAGTGTTTTTTGGCTTGCTGAGAAATATAAATTTCCTCCCCCTTCAAAGAACTTTTGTTTTCACATTGACAGAAGACTAATTGTTCATGTGATAAAATAAAAAAATTAAATCTTTGTTGTATTTTTCAGGGAATCCGAGCCCGAATTTTAGAAACCCTGGTCATGCTCATCCTCCTGGCCTTGCTTATTCTTGGGATCGTGTGGGTAGCCTCAGCACTCATTGACAATGATGCTGCCAGCATGGAATCTTTATATGGTGCGGATTGACTTGTTTAAACCAGTTTCTCTAAGGGAGACTACAGTTTGGAATATAATTACACAGTCACTTTTTAAAACATTTTAATAATTCTTTGTATATTGTTATGCAATAATCCTTGTATAGTTAATCCATATTGTTAATTTACAGAATTAAAGTCTTTTGACATGTTTAAGGAAAGAAATGAATGTTTATGTGTTTCTTGTATGTAGAGTGAGCAAGCAGCTTTTCAGACTTTTTTTTCCCCCTTCGGTTAATTGGTTTCTGTTCTTAAAATTCCATGGAGGCTTATTTTCTCCCTCTAAACAGGTTTTGCAAAAGTTATTTCCTGTTCTTCTGTTTTAGATCTTTTTATTGTACAATTTAGAAATTACATGGTTTAGTAGACTGAAATAGGCAATTATGATGTTTACTATACATTAATCTATAGTCAGTCTATGTCTTAATGCACAGTATTTTGGATGTACTAAAATATTTACATTTTTAAACAGATCTCTGGGAGTTCTACCTACCTTATTTATATTCCTGTATATCATTGATGGGATGCTTGTTACTTCTCTGTAAGTATTTTTCTAACAGAATATTGATGGTAAAGCAGAGTTGTTCTGTGTTCTAGAAAATTACGGGCAAGTTTCCTGATGAGATTCTTTTAACAACTTGGAGATTTTTTAAAAAGTTGGCCCTTAACTTTTTTTGCATGTTCAAGATAAATTTTGATAAACTGAAACCTTGAAACAATAAGATACCTTTGGTTTTCTCTAAAGAAAGCCTCTTTCACGGAGTTGGAGAGAGAAAGGGAGGGAGAGACAGAGTCAGACATGCTCCCCAACTCTCCCTGCTGTCCCTACCCCAGCCCTGGCCACAACACTGCCTTCTGCCTTTAAATGGTAATTGTCAAATTCTGTTTGATGAATTTGTGGTCTTTTTTTTTTCTTCACAATATGTTTTGTTTTACTTAAAGCATCACATCACATCTCAGAGATACTATAAGCGGATAATGTAGGTAAAACGATGTCAGTTTATCGTCATCACTTTCAGGTAGTCTTGTCTGGTACCCAGTTCAGTTAGTATTGACACTTGAAATGCAAACTGTTTTCTGGTTGGTTTTCTTTGATTTCTTTGAAGTGAGAGCCCTTGTTATTATTCAGCTGCTGGAGTCTGGCATCTCCTGCCCCTCCTTGGTCTTCACAAGTCTCCCTTAGGTGCAAGAATGCCCACCCTCCATGTGCCAGTCCCTAGAGCTTCTTTAGTGGTGACACTGAGGAGCCCTGTGACAGAACACCGAGAAAACCTAGGCTGCAAACAGGCGTTTTCTCACGGCAGTAGTCTCTGAGTTTGGCTAATTTTGGACCCGCGGTTTCTCTCCTAACTCTGAAGGAAGCTCTCTGTTCTGCAGTGTGCACTCCAGTCGGCCTCTCCCGCATGTTCACTGTCATGGGGCAGCTGCTGGTGAAGCCAACAGTGAGTATGTCGTCTGTTAAATAAACACTCACATTTGCACATCTCTCAGGTTCTAAACCAGCATTCAGAAACAGAACATTTTTATATATTGATGCCCCAAAGTGCTATTGTATTGTTTTCATCTTTCTCATCTTTGACAACCAAATTTGTTTTGCAAAGTATAGGCACACAGGTAAAAAATGCTTCTAACAGATTTGAAGACAAAATGTACAGATATTTAGAGGTATTTTAAGTGTCCATTATCTTATATCTCATGGGGTCACAAAGAGTTGGACATGACTGAGCAACTGAACTGAACTGATCTTATATCAAATAGTAACTCTTTTATGTTTCAAACTTTACTATGTATATTCTTTGAATTATAAAGCAGTTATTTCCTAAAAATTTGTCTGCACATTATATCTTGATTAATTGAATTATACATTTCCCTTTAATATCAGAAATACTGTATATTCATTTTAAAATAATTTTCAGTTGATAGTAGTTTTGATGATTTTTTCCCTAAGTTGCTTTGGCTTCTGGGCTTCCACAGTGGCTCAGTGATGAAGAATCTGCCTGCATTGCAGGAGACACAGGAGATCCCTGGGTTGGGAACGTCCCCTGGAGGAGGGAATGGCAACCCACTCCAGTACTTTTGTCAGTAAAATCCCATGGACAGAAGAGCCTGGTGAGCTACAGTCCATGGGGTCACAAAGAGTTGGATATGACTGAAGCGACTGTACACACACGCACATACTTTGGCTTCTAGCTATTTTGTCAAGTATTTAACAATATGAAAATAATTCTTACCTGTATCTAGAGAGTTTGTCACCTCCATTATTTTCATGGATCATCATTGCCTACATACTCCAGTGTAAACTATGCACATGTAAGAAGGCCTTTCACCCCTGTCCACCCTGAGTTTACCTGTAGCCACCCCTCCCGCTGTGGCCTCCCTGGTGTCTGTGATTCCAGTCAGTCTCCCAGCTGACGTGCTATGCCCGAGTATGCTGGATTCTTCCCCTTTCCCAGGCCTAGTGAGGGCCTTGCTCTCGCTGCTGCCTCCTGCCTGCTTCGGCCACCTGGTAGCGTCTGAAGCCCTGGCTCTGATACCAGCCCTGAACCCTGCCTCACTTCTCTCAGCTACGATAGTGAAGCTTCTCGCTTTGCATTTCCATATTCCCCTTTGTCTGTGTTTCACTAGTTGTACTTATTAAATTATCGTGGTTATGTGTTTTCTTTCCTGTCAGGGTGATTCATCAAAGGAAAGAAGCAGAGAATATCATAGTAGACATTCTTTTAGGAAATGTTTGCTTAATCTTGAAAGTTTTTTTTAATGGCAATCTTCATATTTTTAAAAAATAAAAACAGGTTTTTTTACCTGCTGTGTAAATGTGCACACACTCATATATAATACACATTCTATTAAATCTTGAAATTTGCCTCCCTCTTAAAGAGGTTTTGTGACACGGCATTCATTTAGTTTCTTACTAATTCTCTAATTGTTTTTTTGATCTTTCTCTCCGTTTCTACTTTCTGCCCCCTAAACTAGGCAAATGTTTCAAGTTCTATCCTTGGGCTAATGGGCTCTGCTCTGTTTTCCTGAGCATTCTGCCACTTCCACCTCACTTCTAGATGTCTAATTCTAGTGAGAAAGAGATAATGAATACAAACTACAGTATATTTTAAATGCTTTAATTGAATACCCCATGGAGTTGAAAACCCAACAGATAAAGAATCAAAATACTTATCTATCTCCCCTCCCCAAACTTATTTTCTCCCAAACTTGTCTGTTATTAATAACATCTTCAGATTTTTCTTATTCTTAACATCTCGTAATAATGGTTATGTATTTAGTAATTAAGTATTTGCTGTATGTGTGCACTGAGTACTTCATTTAATTTCATTTTTCATAATTTCCTTTAATCCTGATGATAAGCCCGTAAGTTGGGTGATGGTGTTCTTACTTTATGCTTGAATTATCTGCAGTTCAGGGAGATCAGTTAGCTTGTACAAGATCACAGATCTGAGAGGATGGGGCAGGGCTTGAACCCAGAGGCTCTTCTCGGAGCCGGGACTCTGGGCCACTGCTTGTTCTACAATAAGAACAAGAGTTCGCGCCCTTCTGTTGCTGAGGGAACCTTTTACCTCCCCGCCCTGGTGTTCTGCTTGTCGTTTGCTCTGATCCGAATGCCTTTTCTCCTTTTGGTAAATGAAGCTACCAGGTACTATGCTACTGCCATCAAAAACATTTGTGAAGACTGTTTTCGTCCCAAACAGAAGCTGGGAATCTTTCTTCCTCCGAACTTCTGTAACATTTTATTTTAGCTTCATTTATGACTTTGATTTCAGTTCTATAATTTTTTTTTTCATGTCTTTCCTGAACATAGAATATAAGCTGTTTGAAGTCGAGGACTTAAGTCCGATCCATATTTAGGTCCCCATCAGCTCAGACTGGCTAAGAGCACAGGCTTTGAAGGCAGATAACTTTCCTTTGCCGGACCTTTGTTTGGTGGCATGTTACAGGGTGGGGTGAGAGCAGTCTGTTTTTCACAGGGTTGCTGTGGAATGATGGGATGAAGCACGCCAGCCCTCACAGAGACACCTGTGCTTCTTGTTGTCACTCACTCACACCAACACGTCCCTGTGGTGGCGAGCCGTCAGTGGGCAGCTACGCAGCGAGAGGAAATCCTTCGTGTGTGGTATTCTTTAGTTGCTCAGTCATTTCTGACTCATTTGTGACCCCACGGACTGTAGCCCACCAGGCTCTTCTGTCCATAGGATTTTCCTGGTAAGATTACTGGAGTGGGTTGCCATTTCCTTCTCCAAGGGATCTTCCCAGCCCAGGGCTTGAACCCAGTTCTTCTGTTTGGCAAGCAGATTCTTTTTGGCTGAGCCACCAGGGAAGGCCCCATTTGTATGTTTTAGACCTTGAGAACAGTGAAAAGTGTCTATTGTGGTCCAAACAGTAGAAAGTGGTGAGAATGTTGGTGGAAAAGGAACTTCATATTGAGGCCCACAGAGGTGTGGCCCATGCTCTCCCCATCCATGAAGTCTGCCTTGGATGACTCAGCCCCATTTACGGCCCCCATGTGGGTCTTCGCATGGACACACAAGTGTGTCGTGTCCTCAGCGAAGCCCTCACTGGCCCCATTCACGGCCTCCCCCTGGGGCTTCCATGGACCCGTTCTTCCTCCAGAGACTGGAGTGTTGGGGCCTCGGGTGCTGCGGGAGGGCCCCCCCTTCTTCCCATTCCTCCCGGGTTCACAAGATGGCCATCTCTTACAATTACTTGTTTCTTACTATATATTCTTATTTTATTATTTTATTTTGTTTTCAGCTCTTGGCCATCAATATTTGTTCAAATACTGGGAATTATTGGATTGCTTGATACTTGATAGGGATTGCATGATTGAAACTCCTTTTTCTGAAAATGCCTCATCAGGGTTCTGAAAGTATATCTGTATTAATATATAGGATTTCCATCCTTTTATTTTGTCCATCAACTCACAGTTTATTGTTTTGCTGAGAAATAAGTAGTTTGGGGTTGAAAGACACAACATTAATAACAGCTCTGGGTTTCTTTCAGAGTTTTCCCAGAGCTAGGAAGATACTTAGGATTGGCTCAGGGAGGCCAGCTGTGATCAGTTCAGTCGCTCAGTTGTGTCCGATTCCTTGCCACTCCATGGACTGCAGCTTGCCAGGCTTCCCTGTCCGTCACCAACTCCTGGAGTTTACCCAAACTCATGTCCATCGAGTTGGTGATGCCATCCAACCATCTCATCCTCTGTTGCCCGCTTCTCCTCCCACCTCCAATTTTTTCCAGCATCAGGGTTTTTTCTAAGGAGTCAGTTGTTTTCATCAGGTGGCCAAACTGATAATAAATTTCCCACCTGTGATAATAAAGCTTTTAGGTTTTATTAGCAATGAAGACAGTGCAAAGAATATCCCATATAAATTGGCTGTTGATGAGTGGGTTTTTCTGGTGGTTGTTTTTACTAGTGTTGTATGCTCTGGTAGTGAGTGTGTGTGTTCAGCACTCTGTCTCTAGGGTTCAGTCTGGGGGGTGATTTTCATAATCCCAGTGTTTAATATTTGTGGACATCTTTTGTTATATGAAGATGATGTAAATGGAAAGTATGAACGGTAGCGATTTCATTTATGGATTTCTTGTTCTACACATTATGCAGGTTAATGTATTAATAGATAAGAAACCATTATTGGACTGGGCTATCTGCTTCTTCCAGCTCCAGAGAATTGGCTTGGGCACGAAGAGATTACTGCATTCAGTTCTTTGGATGTTTAGAATGCTTGCATTTGTGTGCCTTTGAGAGAGTTGCAGAGTTCTTTCATTCTTTAAACTGAAACAACCCCAATTTAGGTGTATGTAGATTTTATGAGAATCAGCTTTCAATTTGCTTAGTTCTGTACTAAGACTTTTTACTTAATTGCAAATAGAATAGTTTTAGCATTTTTATTTTAGATTCCTATTAATTTGAATGGTTGTCTAAATTATAGGCCAAGTAGCCTAAATATTCTCATAAACACTGCTTTTGTAATGTATTATTCAATAGTGTGGTCTTTACATTTAGATTCTTGAAGACCTGGATGAGCAGATTTATATCATTACCCTCGAGGAAGAAGCACTCCAGAGACGACTCAGTGGTATGTATTTGTTATATTTATTACATATTTAGGCCAGAATAAAACATTAGTTAATTCTAAAAAGACGGATAATTGAGGGGAGAAAGACAAGCCCCTCAGTCCCTTGTGCTGTTGCCTGAGGCTGAGACGTAAGAGGAACACGTGAGCTTCCCAGGTGAGGGCAGGTGTGCTGAGGAGCAGCTGAGGAGCTGGGTCAGGTCCCCCCTCACTGAAAGTCGCTGTGATCTGGCAGGGTCAGTTCAGCGCCTAGACACTGGCCACTGAGGTGTGTCTGTCCTCCATCAGATCCTCACGCATGATGGGTGTCAGGACTTCCAGTTACTGGCGTGTTACAGGTTTGTCTTAGCAGCTGTAGCATCCCTTCTTTGTGTCTCTCCTGTTGGTAGAAAGCCGTGTTTCTTCCGTGTGAAGGGGCCAAATTAGATTGCTGTACTGAGGAACTCTGTCTTCATTTTGGGATACTGTTCATTACCAGCTGATAACCACATACGCCTGTCAAAGACTTTAAAATCTAAATTTTCATTACGGATCATTTTTGGCTTCAAATGATTAACCAGTAAAGAAAAGAGTAATGACAGTTTAACAGAGAAATGACATAGTAAAAATTTTTATTTTACTCAAATGATTTTCACCCTACACTCTTTTCTCCTACGGAGTTTTCTTTTAAATGTTGAAAACCTCCCACCAAGATCAGATTATTAATAGCTAACTATATTTTACAATCATAATTCAAGAATAGGTATAAAATGGAAGGTTACTTTAACTACACAATATTGAGAAATGGGAAGAAAGATAGCTACTTTCTTCAGTTACAGATAGTGAATTTAAATCATCAACCCCAAAATGTTGATATTAGACATTATTCTTAGATCAAAGAATTTTGGATTGTATCTATTCTAGAGAATTCTTCTCAGTTATAATAATTATATACTTTGATACTGATAGCTTTTAGACTGGAACTACATGTATTTTTTATTCTTCTAACTTTATTAAAGCTATTTTAACATTTAAACCTATTTAACTTAAGAATTATAACTTTAATACTGTCAGCTTTATAATATTTCATTAAAGTAGTTAATATTGTAATGAACCTGTCTTATTTAGATTATCATGCCATTGTATACTAAATCTGCCTGGATCATTCAGAATCCATGTCTAACTGCCCCCTGCAGTGTGGGGTTATGTCTCAGCTTATATACAATATCATTTCTGTCTTACAGTCAGGAGGCTCAGATCTAGGAAGGGTAAAATACATTGCTCTGTGAATTAAAGAATTTGAAATAAGGCTAATCAAAAGAAACCCCAAAATGTAGGCTTTTCTCACTTTGTCCTTTAACAGTGGAGGAAAAAAAGTCTCTCCAGAATGTCTCTAGATCCTTAGCTCCTCAAATAAAAAGTGGCTCCATTACAGCTAAGGAAACGGAAAAGGAAACACTTGCCAGGAGTTTAAGGTAGTGTACAGTGAGGCAAAGCCAAAGTAAACAGTACATCCAGCTAACTCAGTAATGGTGTAGCTTGCAGGGGCTTGAGAATGATATGATCTGTGACTTCCTGGCAGTCCTTTGCCTTCCAATGCAGGGGAGGCAGGTTTGATCCCTGGTTGGGGAACTAAGATCCCATCTTCCTTGCAGGCAGAAACCCAAAAGGTAAAACAAGCAATATTGTAACAAATTCAGTAAAGACTTAAAAAAAGATGACATGATTGCCAATGCTAAGTGTACTTTTATTTTCTGCCATTTTGGGAGGCCATGCACTACTTTGGACTGTCGGTGGTCATTAAGAATCTTTCCAGTGAGACTGTGTGTTGGAATGTGTTGGGATAAAGCTGTGGCTTTGCTCTTTGCTGCTGGTTAGCACTGTGGACTGTTAAAGGTGGAATATAGAGGGTTCTGAAGCAAAATGGACATTTTGATTAATACAGATTAAGAGTTACGAGCTTCAGTAAGTATATTTGTCGGTTGTGCAGAAGGAAGAAAAGCCAAGATGGAACAAAACCCTGCTTTGTAATTTGCTGTTTAAGAAAATGTAGATCATAGGAGGTTAGCAGGGCTTTCCCAGTGGCTCAGCGGATAAAGAATCTGCCTGCACTGTAGGAGACACAGGAGGTGTGGGTTTGATCCTTGGGTTGGGAAGATCCCCTGGAGGAGGAAATGGCAACCCACTCCAGTGTTCTTGCCTGGAGAATCCCGTGGACAGAGGAGCCTGTGGGTGACGGTCCAAAGGGTTGCAGAGTCAGACGTGACTGAGCACACGTGTACCACTAGGAAGTTCGTGACCGCAGTCACCCCGTGGAACATATTTAATATTGCACTCTGTCACATATATTTTGTTGTAATAATTATCATATATTTTAAATTATTTTTACAAAGTGAAGTTTTAAGTTTTTACTCTGGGCTATTAAAAAGAATTTCAGGATAGAGTAGAAGATTTTAAAAACTACAGCTTACAGCGGTGACCCCCCCCCCAGAACTTGTGGTGGTGTTTGCTGAGGGCTTGCTGGCTGTGCTTTCTTGGTGCTTGTGGGCTGTGACGGGCATGGTGTGTAGCTTGGGGACATCTGCGTGGTTTGCTCTGATCCCAGCTTTACGACTACCTGATAAAACATGATACTTGATATCAAAAGGGACTTAAGTGTGGGAATAACACTATTTTGTCCTGGAAGATAAGATGACTTGTTGTGGTAGTCGCTACCTGCCTGAGCTCGGCCTCCATGCTGGTGTTTAGGTCATCAGCACAGCTCTGTGATGCACTGCCTGCCCATGACTTCTCCACTGCTCCTCGTTGATCCTTGGTGCTAGAGTTTTTGTGCTTGTTAATAGTGTTGTTATTTCTTAACAGACAGTAACAGAGTAAAGCTAACTGTGCACTATTACAGAGAAGCCATCCTGCTGCCAGCCTGCCCCATTCTCTCCTCCCTTCACCACGCTGCTTTCTCTAAGCACCAGACAGCGTGCCTGTGAATTTAGAACCCGAGTCTTGAGACTGTGGGCTACTTAACTGAAAGAGGGAGAGACACGGTGAGACTGCCTGAAGGCTGCGTCCAGTGCTGAAGGACCTGACAAGAAGTGGAGGAAGGCGTTGTGTGCGTTTCTGGAGCAGGAGGGAGCCCATGCAGTCCCGGCACTGGAGAGGGCAGGAGCGAGGGTGCCTTTTGCCCTTGGCCTCTTTCTGGTCCGGCCGAGGGGCAGGGGCTGTCCTGTGATCTCAGGCTCTGATCCGCTCATCTCCTTGGGCCCGTTTCTGCCCCTGGTTCCCACTGTCCGCTCCACCGGGACGCCCTGCGCCAGCACTGGGGCGGGGCATGGACCTGGCGGCAGGACCGCAGCGCTCGGCCTCTCTGTCCTGAGGACTCTGGGCTCCCCAGCGGCCCCCAGCGGGGTCCTGCTTGCCGCTCACCTGCCTGCACTGCTCCTGGAGCCTGCCTGGGCTGCCCTTGCTCTGTGTCAGGCGCTAAGTCTGTCTGCAGGCCCTGACCTGACTGGCCGCTTCTCTCTCCCCAGTCACCCTCCCCTCCAAGGCGAGGCCTGCTCCCTGTGGGGGGACACGGCACCGTCTGCTCTTTGACGAGCCTCCTCTCCACGCACCTGCGGTCCTCGGTGGTTTCGGAGCCCCACCTCTGGGAAGCCCCTGAGCGCTCCCTCCTAATCGCCCGCTCAGCGGCTTGGTGCCTGGGCCTCGTCGTGAGCCCAGCACCTGTTGCCCAGCCCTGGCTTCTCCGGCTCACTCCCCGCAGTTACCCAGTGTTGACACTTTTCACACGTGCCGTGTATTTACCCTCGTGACTTTTCAGCACCGCCGCTTGCCCCCACGTTCCCGTCGTCCCCAGGCCTCATCACAGTCGCGCTAGTGCCAGGCTGTCGTCAGAGCCAGTGCCCCTGTGCCCTCTCAGGCCCCTTCACACTCAGTGCACCTCGGTCCAGCCCGCTCTGCATGCCCGCTGACTGTGGCCGCCTGACCTCTCTCTTCCTGTCTGACCAGACAGTCTCCAGACGACTGCTATGTCTTCTCTTCTCTCAGACCTTCTTCACGGTCACTCTCAGCTGATACTTTGCTTCCTGTTTTGTCAAGAAAACAGAAGCTCTTGTGGCAGAACTCTGGCCCCTCGCCTGGGTTTCCCTGCGTGCGCTGCCTCTTCTGCGTACGCTGTGCCTGGCCGTCCCGCCGCTGGACCGAGGCTACGGTTGGCCCTCGCCGGTGCAGCGGCCCGCGTCCCTTCTCCCTGACTGTAGGACAGAGCTCCAGCTGGGTTGCCACCTCTCTCACAGAATCAGCTGGCTCACTGCTATCAGCATAGGAAAGTACTCTTATTTTTCTCAACAGAATGAAAGAACAAGTAAAAGAGTAAGGAAAGGAAGTGTTCACAAAAAACCAATCAGTTGATCCAAGAAAGAAGTAGAAAATTTTCATCGAGCCTGATTGAGGATTATAACTTGGGAACAGTCTCTCAGAAAGCTCCTTCCCTCCCGTTAGAGGTCAGAGCACAGTTGTGTGAGTTTTTGATCCAGGGCGGTACATTAATGACATGTCATGACCAGTTTATCTATACAGCCTTGCTCAAAGGTGAGGCTTTGGGCTCACTCCCGCCTCCACGACTACCAGGGTGCTGGTGCCATGTTGGCTGTGACTCGTAGTCCTCGTCTTAGCTCCCCTTTCTCCTGGAAATGCTATCACTCCGCTCGGCACGTTCCTCGTCCTCCCAGGTGACGGGCGGCTGCTCTTCAGCCTGCGTTGCTGCGTCTCCCCGCCCCTCCCTGCCTCGGTCCCCGTGCTCCTCTTTGTTTGCCTGCCCGCCCCAGCCCCGGGGCTGCTGACCCCAGCTCTGCAAGCCAGGTGTCCAGTGCTCATGCCACTGGGCTGTCCAGTGGGTGCCTTGAGCACCTCTTGTCCAGACTCAGCTCTATAGGCCTCTGTTCACATGGGCACGTCCCTGCAGGTGGCAGACCCGTTCTTCTAGGTGCCCAGGTGAATTCCTTGGCGGCTCTTCATTCCCTTGTGGATTC